TATAATTGATGTGTTTATTTAATATGGTGGGATTTACTTTGTTTATTTCCTTGCTCACTAAAAATGTCATTTAGTTCATGATGAATCTTTCAGTTGGTGGCATTTTAACCCTGGGGAAATATGATAAATGCATAGAATAATCAGGTACATCTGGAAATTATTTTTTAATGGGATGGAATGACTCTAATGGGAAAAAATGTGGATTGTCTACTAAAGGGTGGGGGACTTGGAGATGTCAGTGTTTCTCTGGTATCTCTGGCTGTTGGCTTGTCAAAGACTCCACATTCCCCGAGTTTCACTGTTGTTTTGGAGACCAAACCTAGCTTCTATGCACTTCTATATTGGTAATGAGGCCCAGGAACTCCCTGGGGATAGAGGTGACTAGGAAAGCCCTGTCAGTCCCACAATAGAAGAGTCCTCTGCAGGCAAAACTTGCATTTAGTGGCATTTGGCAGGCGCTTTCGTCTACCTTCTTCCAGAGCTCCTTCTGGAGATGCACATCTGTCTTGCCTTTCACATGTGCCAGCTAGAGGCTGCAGGAGTGTGAACCTCCCCTCAAAGAGCAGGAGGGACTGTGGGATGCGGGGGAGGCAGCAGCTTCTCCTGGCAGCAAGACAGGTTCCAGACGGGCAGAGGTAGAGAACACTGGCCACTAGCCTGATCTGTCCCTGCCCTGCCCTTGTTAAATCCATGGTTCACCAAGAGCCTCCTTAATCATCTCTGTCTGGGTCAGTTTCAAGCAGGTTTCAGTTCAGTCGGGCCCCAGCCCCTTAGTCCCTCTGTGTCCCCTCACTTCCTTCCATAACCAGGCAGATACCTAGACATGCACTGAGCATCCATCTACACCATACAAGACTTAGGGAGACTAGAAGTACGAAGCTTTAACACCAGGCTATGGCGTGTAGATTTCTCAGGTGGGAAGGAGAAGGCTCGCCATCCCATCTGAAGGAAGACCATCTGGGGAAGACTGGAAGGCTGGAGCTCTGTGGTGTTGCCTTCTTCCTGATAGCTACACTGTCCACAGGGATGCCACATACCACAGAGCACACTGGATGGAAGGCATTGGAAAGGCAAAACCACAACCGACCATGGAGACTTGTATGAAAATAGGACAGAACATAGCTCAAAACACTCTCACACTGAATATATGTTGAAAGACCGTTTTAGGTATATTGTTACATGTTATTACAATTGATTTCACCTGTCTCTTTTGATGTGAAAATTTAAAATCACCTGTGTGTGTGTTTCACATAATTCTATGGCAAAGCTGTCTTTAGCCTCACCAATATCCTTTAAAAACAAACACACAGCTCCACTTCTTTCTCTCCTGTGCAGTCCCACCTGTCTTCTGCTCCTGTATCTTATCAGAGCAGCCTTTTTCTTTCTTCCTCATTCCCTCCTTCCCTTTGTCTTGCTGACTCGACTCCTTTTATTATGTATGATGATGGATAGAGGTTTGAAAAGGGGGAACTAGTGTCTGCCCTCTCAGGCTCCGGTTTCTAGATACCCTGAAGCCAATATTCATATGGCTAAGGGACATGACTTACCCAGATGTTCATGGAAAGTGATGTTTTAGACAAATCTTCTCTGACTGACTTGGAGTCAGGTAGGAATTGTTTTTACTTTCATGTCACTTTTCAAATACATAGGTTACAAAGGTGTATGAGACTTGCCTCATTTACAAACTTCAATATGAGATAACTTTAGCCAAACAGCTACTGTCTGCCTCTACCTTTTCTAGAGTCAAATTCCCCAGGGCTCGATGCTTCTAACTCTTTTCGTGCTAGGCATTTACTTCCTGAATCAGGCACATCATTACGTAAATTTCAAACTAAACCATTAGATTGCTATTTTTGATTTTAAAATTCCAGACCATTGCTTATGTTCTTCACACTATTTTTTTTTTTTTTTGTTCTAATACAGCTTGTTGTTTGTTTTACGGCTAGTATATACTGTTCATTGTTGAGCCAAGTAGTGTGTAATAATTCTACTTGCTTGCATAACTTTTTTATTTCCCTGGAGATGATCACTGCCCCTTTATGGCTGTCTTGTTTCTTACGGTTTTATGCAAATTCTTACAGAAGTCTCTACCAATGTGTAAAACTCCTTCACATACCATGTCCATCCTCCTCTACCCAGACAACCTTTCAGATTCCCTAGCTTGTTTGGAGTCCGTGCAGTTACATGCTTGGGAATCCCCCTCCTCTTCAGAGTATGGTCTCCTATTTCATTGCTTTTCTTTCTAAACAGTGTCAGCAGTACCTCTTATGGAAGGAGCAAAGGTTACCGTTTGAACCTGGCATGGTAGTGCATGCCTGTAATCCTAGCACTCTGGAAGCAGAGGCAGGAGGATCAGAAGTTCAAGGTCATCCTTGAACACAGTAAGTTCTAGTCAAATGGTTGTCAGCCTTCCTACTGCTTTGACCCTTTAGTACAGTTCCTCATGTTGTGGTGACCCCTAACCATAAAATTATTTTCATTGCTACTTCACAACTGTAATTTTGCTACTGTGGTGAATCATAATGTAAATATGTAATGTGCAGGTGGCCTTAGGTGACCACCAAACGGATCCCAGCCCACAGGTTTAAAACTATTGTTCTAGACAATGAACTTACAGACCCTTCAGTTGCCTCTCTGCCCATTAGTCTGTCCCTTAGGACATAGGGCTGACAGGCACCTTGAGAATACATAGGCCTCCACGGGGGAGGAGGGCAGCCTTCCTCCCTCAGCTGTCCAGGTCCAAGGCAAGTTTAAACTACAACCCCAGTGTCTTCCTGCCTTCTAACTCCTGCCAAGAAGGCCAGGCCAGGCTAGATCATATGATGTGGAGACTGTCACCCCTTTGAATATCTGTAAGAGTCTGAGACACTTCTCTGGATGGGAAGGACTTCAAGGCCTCATGATGCTGCCTATGCAATGATGCTGTGTCTCTTCCAATGCACTCCCATTTCAAGGACCAGTCATGACCCCTGTGGTCGAAAGGCTCTCTCTTCCAATAAAGCTCACCTGAAGGGCAATTTCACGTCAGTCTGTTTCTATGAACCTCCTTAATCTATGAGAGTTAAAATTAATTTTACCTGTCTCTTCTGATGTTAAAGTTTAAAATCATCTGTGTGTGTCTCACATAATCCTATGGCAAAGCTGGCATTGGTCTCACCAACATCTGTTAAAAATAACTGCATTTCTTTTCTTTCTAACAGAGGTTAGCCTGGGCTACATGAGACTCTGTCAACCAATCAACCAACCAACAAACAAAAACAAACAAACCCTGAAATGGCTTTTTTGTCTATCCTCACAGTTAATTAATGGTTTGTTTAGACACAGAATTCTAGATATTGTGTCCAATCCCTACTCCCAGTACTTGGAAGGCACTTTCTCTATAATTTTTTTAATCTTCTAATATCTAATGGTATAATACCATGATGTGTATATTATGGTATTCTGACTGTGACTGCTTGCACATCTGTGTGCTCTGGAGGGTTCTAGAATTGTCTCTTTGTGTTTATGATTGCACATTTCATCATACATCCTGGTGTGTTATTCCAGAGACCACCTTTCCTATCTGGAAAACAGACCTTCTGTCTGGGAAGTATTTTTTTAAAAGTTTTTCCCCATGATCCTCTCCTCAGTATCTCCGCGATTCTCTCTCTTACAAGTGAAGTTCAGAGTTTTGTCTCATCTGTGTCCTGAGAAGTGTCCTCAGCTTTCCCTCCAGTCCTCCAGCTAAACTCCCGACTCTGCCTTGTGATTTTAATTTCCAAGTGCTCTCCATCTTTGTCATCCTTCCTTGTGAGAGCACTTCCTGTTACTTCACAGATCTCATATCTTATTTCCCAAAAGACATTAGAATACTTTTTCTGGTCCTTGCGTTATCTCTCTTCTCTTAGATTTTTTTCCTTTCTCTTTCTCATATAAAGGTTGGTTTGTTCTCTCTACTTTGTAGCCTGATTATGTCAAAATAGGTCACTAACAGCTGTTTAGAAGGTCTATGCACACATATGAGAAGTAATTGTCCAAAAGTGGGCCTCAGGATACAGAGGCTGGTGAGGACCTAGACATTTTATTGGGGTGTTCTGAACTACAAGCACCCGGAGAGCACTTCTGGGACCAACGACTTTCTTGGAAGAAGCAGCCCCAGTTTCCATCCCAATGTTCCTGTATAGACTGCAGAGTGATGTCTCATACCTGGTGCAGAGGAAAGACTTTGGGATAGATTTTTTACCTGGCCCTGTTTGGCTTTGTTTGTACCTCTGCCTCCTGTGCCTAGTATCCCCTCCCCCATACACTAGGGACTTTCTGGGAGGATGGGAAAGGGAAGGAGCTGTGCTTGTAGCTGGCCAGCAAGCAGACCTAGCATTCTTTTTCCAAAGTAGCTGTGCCTCCATTCCTAACCCTTCCAGCCTCACGGGGCATCTGCCCACCACTTGTTGACTGCCCCTACCCCCTTGGTAGGTGCTGGGTTTCTGATTTCTCAGTTTTGCTAATTCCACCATCTGCTTTCCAAACTCTGTTGACATCTGTTGTCTGCTGGTGTCACCTCTCCTGTTCCCTCTGTCCTATCTTTTTCTTATCCTTTCGCTCGTATGTTAGTGGGGTTGGGGAAGAGGCAGATGTATATTGAATCTACCAGGATTTTTTGTTTGTTTGTTTGTTTTGTTTTGTTTTGGGTTTTGGAGAGTGGGTTTCTCTGTGTAACATTCCTGGCTGGACTGGAACTTGCTTTGTAGACCAGGCTCACATTTGCCTCCCGAGAGCTGGATTTAAAGGCCTAAGTCTACAACACCAGGCTTGATGGGTATTTTAAAAGGTCATTTTCTATGATCCCTTCCCACTTAAAACTGCAACTTTTTTTTTTTTTGATTTGTTTTGTTTTGTTGCTTTTGCTGGAATAGAACTTG